CACCCTGGGGCAAGGGATAGGTGTAAGGCACCCAGTGTCTTGCCAAGAGCATCTCTGGTCTGATGCCAGCTCTGGCTTTGTAGGCACTGGACCCCTCATGCCCTATGGTTTCTTCATCAAGATGATTTCTCTCTGGCAGCATGTGCTGGGCCTGGCTCAGCCCATTTTTCAGACTGTGCTGTGGGTCACCCACACTGTGCCTGCAGCCTTTGAGATAACCAGGAAAAGGGATCAGAGTGCTCTGATTCCCAGCATGCTTGTGCTGCACTGGGGAAGGAAAGCGGGTAGGTTGTCGTGAGCACCACCAGGCAGGCAGCAGCATTGAGTTAGACCCACTCATGCTAGAAGAGGGGTAGACCAAGCTCTGTAAAAGCCCATTTCTAATTTCCTCCACTGATTCCTCCAGCTCCCCTCCCCTGGAGCAGTAGGAGGCTGAAGGAATGGGATTGACCACGTCCTGCTTGTGGGATTTGCAAAGGGGGAATGTGTGCTTTTCCCTGGGGAGCTGGGCTGGGAACTCAAAGTCTCAGGGTTTGCCAAAGCCCAGGAGGAGGTACGGATGAGTTCCCAGGCTTGTTGGCGGATTGCCTCCCTCCCTCTGCCCATCTCCTCCTATCCCAAATGTTTTCATCTTTCTTCCTCCCCCCAGACTTCCCAACTTCATCCTGGTATGCTAGTCCTGTTTGCTGGTCAAGGACGTGGGGTGCTGTAGGGGTGTTGTGGGTTAGAGGATGGAGGGACAGACCCAGGACATACCCTGATCTATGTTCTCCCTCTGACTTTCCCCTGGGCACAAAGGAGAGGGAAGGGGGGGTTGGGAGGTGGTTGGGAGGGGAGGGAGGATGTTGCATAAACCAGAAGCAATCCAGGAACAGCTGCCTGTGGCCTGGGAACACCTCTGTGATTTCAGGTTCTAGGAAAGGAGATGTAAATATATATTAATATTTATATTTATGTATGTAGACTACATCTCCCCAGAACACCCCCTTTCCCCCCCACTTGATTCTCCAGTTACTTTTCACAGACCTTGTGAAAGTTTATGCAGGAGGGACTGGGGAGAGGGCTTAGATATCGGTTTAGTGCTTGGAGTAGCAGCTCTGTGCATGTGGGCATCTGGGGGTCACTTTGGCCTCCCCCCAAATATGTTCCTTTGGCAGGATAAGAAGTGGGAGCACATCTGGAGGAGTTTAAAGCCTTTGCAGGCTGGAGGGAGCTTGTTGTTGGGGCTGGGAGAGAGGTTGTTGGGATGGGAGAGAAAGGGGGAGATGTTGAGGGTAGAAGGGATGCAGTCAGGAAGGAGGAAGCACAGGGAATGGAGGTGAGGAGCAGGAAACAGAGGGCCTCTGGGTGGAAAGACCCTTTTGGAGATGAATTGCGTGAGGAGGTAGGAAAAGGTGTTTTGGGGAAAGGAGGAGCTGGGAGATCTCAAAGGAAGGGAGTAGGTCCCAGGGCTGGTGTGGCATGGGAGAGGGGGTGGTCAAGGAATGGGGTATGCATCCATAGAGCAGAAGGGGAGCGGGGTGCAGGAATGAGGAAGGGCAAGATGTGTGAAGAGAAGACGTGGGGATATAGGGAAGGAGGGCCGGGGCTGAAGAGATAAGTCATCCATGTTGGGAGAGGGGGACTATGCTTGGGGAATGTGTCCTGGTCAAAGGGAAGAGGTGAAAACCAGGGGAATGGTTGGATACAAGGCCTGGACAGCTCTTTCATCATAATGATTTTGCCTGTCCATCCAGCCTGTGTATTTTTGGCCCACGGAAGGAAGGGGGTGGGAATGCAGAGGGAGCTAAAAATAGGGGTGTCCCTGCCCATTCCCCCAAGGCGGGCATCCGTCTGCCTGCCTGCCTGTGGGGTTGCTGCGGGATCTGGAGGAGGGGAGCAGGTCCAGCCTTCTCCCCATGGCGTCTGGCTCTGCTTTTGTTTGTCTCACAGCCCTACAGGGACAGGAAGAGGCTGCTGGGCTGGGGAACAATGGCTCATTCTCTGGGAGTCTGCGCCTGCCGAGTAGCGATAGGGGGGACGTGGGATGGTGGCCAGAAGGCAAGCACAGCCTCCTAGTGCCACTGCTGCAGGAGTTTTTACCCCAGAAGATGATGGGGTCCACTAGTGGGATGCAGGGGGACCTTCCCCAGCCCATTCCTCTTCTCCAGACTCAAAACCAGGTTCCTCCAGGTCTGCCTAGTTGGAGAGAGAATGAGAGGCTGACTCTGGTGGGTGCACTTTATGGAGGAGACAAGGGAGGCAATGCTGGCAACTCAGAGAGC